TCTCTTCACCTCCTTAGTGGCGTGTCCAGAGGGGAACTTTTTTCATCGGCTCTATTCTACAGGTGCTGGTCATATAATTAGAATATCATCAAAGTTGATTTATTTCAGTAATTCCATTCAAAAAGTGAAACTTGGATATTATATTCATTCATTACACACAGACTGATATATTTCAAATGTTTATTATTTCATTTAAATGAAAATTCTGAAAATTAGAATATTACTTAAGACCAATACAAAAAAAGGATTTTTAGAAATGTTGGCCAACTGAAAAGTCTGAAACATGAAAAGTATGAGCATGTACAGCACTCAGTACTTAGTTGGGGCTCCTTTTGCCTGAATTACTGCAGCAATGCGGCGTGGCATGGAGTCGATCAGTCTGTGGCACTGCTCAGGTGTTATGAGAGCCCAGGTTGCTCTGATAGTGGCCTTCAGCTCTTCTGCATTGTTGGGTCTGGCACATCGCATCTTCCTCTTCACAATACCCCATAGATTTTCTATAGGCTTAAGGTCAGGCAGTTTGCTGGCCAATTAAGAACAGGGATACCATGGTCCTTAAACCAGGTACTGGTAGCTTTGGCACTCTCCTCTCCTCCTCCAGACTCTGGTACCTTGATTTCCAAAAGAAATGCAAAATTTACTTTAATTTCAGAACATAACTTTGGACCACTCAGCAGCAGTCCAGTCCTTTTTGTCTTTAGTCCAGGCGAGACGCTTCTGACGCTGTGTCTTGTTCAAGAGTGGCTTGACACAAGGAATGTGACAGCTGAAACCCATGTCTTGCATACGTCTGTGCGTGGTGGTTCTTGAAGCACTGACTCCAGCTGCAGTCCACTCTTTGTGAATCTCCCCCACATTTTTGAATTGGGTTTCGTCTCCAGGGTGCGGTTTTCCCTATTGCCTACACTTTTTTCTACCTTCCCTATCTTTTTCTCTCTTTTCCTTCCGTTCGCCTCTCTGTTAATGTGCTTGGACACAGAGCTCTGTGAACAGCCAGCCTCTTTAGCAATGACCTTTTGTGTCTTGCCCTCCTTGTGCAAGGTGTCACTGGTCGTCTTTTGGACAGCTGTCAAGTCAGAAGTCTTCCCCATGATTGTGTAGCCTACAGAACTAGACTGAGAGACCATTTAAAGGCCTTTGCAGGTGTTTTGAGTTAATTAGCTGATCAGAGTGTGGTACCAGGTGTCTTCAATATTGAACCTTTTCACAATATTCTAATTTTCTGAGATACTGATTTTGGGTTTTTCATTAGTTGTCAGTTATAATCAAACTTAAAAAGGAATGAACACATGAAATATATCATTCTGTGTGGAATGAATGTATACATTTACAAGTTTAACTTTTTGAATGGAATTACTGAAATAAATCAACTTTTTGATGATTTCTAATTGTATGACCAGCACCTGTAAATCCAGAATGAAGATACTGGTATCATATGAAACTAGATGACCTAATGCATTCATTGATACTGTGCATTTCTTTGCATTTGGTATAAAGGTTGTTTTTTCCCCCTAGTGTATTTGAATAATTCTGCATACTGTTAACCTGTGCTCATTCCTGTTACTATTGTTGAGTTTTTTAAAGAAATAAAAAAAGAAACCACTATTTTTTTCCTATTATTGGCCAATCATTTATCCTATTGTTTACTAAATTACATGATAACATTGATAAACCTGAGGTTTTAGTCTCCTTTAAAACAAAAAAAAGTGTTGCATTTTTTAGAAGACAACTTGCATGCATATAAATGACATTTGTCACAAATATAAATTTTTTGAACATGTAACCAACAATTTATTTAAAATAAACACTTTCTGTAAATAAATTTGCCTGAGAGCGACCATTAATAGTTTAATGTGGGAGTGATTCAGTCTTGAAAAAATGTCAAAATTGAAGTTTATTTTGTAAGGGTGACACAGCAAAATGGATATGGAATATGGAATATCCCCTATGCTGTGGTCATACGCTACACTCGTGACTGCTGAATCATCTGCCTATTGCTAAAAATAAAATAAAACCGATTGTGTCCAAAGTGTTGCATAATGAAATGTAAGCAAACAGCCTGTATGACTGTATTTAAGTAACATGTAACGGGGTCACAGAGAGCTGTGGAGAAGGTAGTAGAAGCGCAAAAGTGACGATGATGATGATTAATAAGTAAATAATGTGGGGCAGGCTGCATGCTCTGCTGCTGAAACACTTCTGAGACGCTTCCAGTGGATTTTGACGCCAGGCTATGGACACATCAAAACCGTAGCACAGCCGTAACGCGGTGTAGCCGGAGTCTGTTAGTGTTTACAAAAGACTCTACTGGGTTTCACCCAGTGTGCTGAACTATGACACTAAGGGCTTCCAACTGCATTACAAGCTGATGCCAAGAGGTCTTGACAATGCGTCCATATGTGACAACTTGGGAGGGAGAACAGGTTGGTGGAGACCAAAACAGTAAATGTTGGACTTGGACCACCCGAGGCAAAGACTGAACGACCGTTGTTGGTATCTTCATCTGAGGCAAATAGGTTCGGTTTGTTGAGTTTTCTAGGAAGTGATGAAAGGACCGCATTGTAAGTGGGGGATAAGTGATGGGGTGATTCATCACCGTAATTCCCCTCCTCTGTTCAGCGACAGCTTCTCAACCTAAAATCTGTCTTCTCTGTCTACAATGTGCACCTGGTGGTCCTCAAACAAGTCTTGGCCTTGGGTACAGCCAGGAACACTAACGAACCAGCAGTTTCGACGATCCTGGCAAACGACCCCACTGAGGTTAATAACTTAGTTTCCCTACCAGTCAGTCAGAACTGAATAAGTCCTTTGGATGAGGGACGAAACGTCTTCTAGTATCTTCAACCAAGTCCAGTTGCCCCTTGACTTTAACCTTCTTTGGATAACAGATTCAATGTAACTTGTTCACACTGTTCAAAAATCAGATCTGTTCAAAGATCAAATCTGAGTCACATATGAGCATATGGCCTGCAGTCTGATCATAGCCTTAGTATCTAATTTAGACCAGACCTGAACCATCAAGTTCAACAGCTCTGTACTGTTCTGAGTTACAAGTACCTGTGCCTGAGTATTTGGTAATGGCCTGGCTCAAAAGGCCACAACAAAAAGGGAGACACACCTCTGTTGATTTTAACAAGGGGCAGTAATTACAAAACCCAACTTGTCCAGCACGTGTAGGCTCATTTGACGATGCTTGAACCACAAATTTCATATTTGTCTGTTCATCATCCTTGACCTACTTTTGTAACTTTTGGTGATACACTTCAGGTACCAACTCAAATGATTTCAGCACCTCTGATTTTACTATCATCATGCAAATTAGCCTACCACAAATGGCCGAATAAGACTCCCATGCCCTCCCAATGAGGACACACCGAAACACCTTGCCTGAATCTGTCCAGCCCCTAGCATTCGCAACATGTTCAAACCAAATGTCACGATTTTCAGAATGAGTGCAAGCAAGAGTGTGAGCCCAAATGCAAGACTCCAGCGCAGAGATTCCGTTCAGGGGATTTTAATCCAAACAAAAACCAGGTTCTCAGGCTTACAGGCAGTAGACTGGAATATCCAAAAAATCAGAAGGGTTGTACAGCAACAGGCAGACAGAACACTCTTCCAAACAACACGACTGACTGTATACACCACACTACAATGACTAGAGAGGGAATGAACAGGAAAACCAAACATATACACAGGGACTAACGAGCAGGGCGGGAGCAGCATAGGTGACAGGGATCAAGGCTAACGAGGCAGGCAGGCAGAGTGATAACTGTGGGAACATAACCTAGGTTACTGGACATAAACTAAGACACAGAACTAAACCAAAGATACAAGTCAGGAAAGATGCTAAGAGAGCAAAACCGAACATGCAAATGAACAATGGAACAAATAAGCTTAAATAAAGAACACGAGACAAGGAACAAACCCAAAAAGAGAAAACATGGACCAACTACAAAACTACAAAAGTCTAAACTAACAGGACAGCAACAGGGAGTCTAACGCACGGTGTAAGCAACAAAACAAGCAGGGACCGAATTACTAACACAGAGTGGATCAGGGGGATGAGATATCAGGACAACACAGACAACAGACTAAGATAACAGAACAAAAACAGATTAACACAGAATCAAACGGACAACAAACGGCAGAGCTCACAATTAACACAGGCTGGACACAGGAAAACAGACAAGACAGAACCCCAAAACACACACAAATTTTAGCACCAGAAACAAGTCAGAAATAATACACAACCTGACCCAGAGCTAACAGGATCAATTTCCATCTCTAACTGCATGGAAAAAATCTTGTTTTGCTGCTCATTTGACAAACCAGGCAATTAAACAATCTCTTGTTGCCACACCAGCACAGAAATAGGCTCTGCTGCAGACAGGTCACTTTTCTGCAAGACCCCTTGCTCAAACAAAGATGATTTGAATGTGAATACTGTGTAACATTTTTAATGTCATCCTTACAACTACTCCCTGACATCATCACGAACAGTCCCATCTTTTTGGAAATTAGGTATGTCTTGCTTGAAGGTTAAGTCTGTAGGTTTTTGTGGCATCTAGTTTTGAGGGTTGTGAGTTGCAACAAATTATATATGTATATCCTCGGCGGGGCTTAAACAACGCTATGGAAGTCTTCATCGGTCCCTGACACTTCATCACACCTCAACCTGGCTCACTTTATTTCTTCAACAACATTTTAGATAAAATGTATGATTAGCTGTGATCTGAGACCCACAGACCTCTTTCCGCCTGGTTTCAACATGTTCTGTTTGCACTCTGTCTGCTGACATTTCAGACATCAGAGACCGTTTTTCTGTTTAAGCTGGCTAATCTGTTCATGAACAAAGTACTTTTATATAGTCTGCTCGGATTTAGTTCAAGTAGTTAGTAGTTCAAGTTTACTTTTACTTAAGTAGAACATTGTAGTAGAGATCAGAGGAGCTGATTGTCCACTGCTTCAGCAGCAGACTGTTCTGATTTCATGTCCGCATTTCTTTTATATTTCCAGCCAACAGCCAATCCAACAGCAGCTAAACAAACCAGAACAAAAGCTGCTACCAGTCCGTAGTAAAGACCGTAGTTTCCCTCCTCGACGTCTCCGCTGTTGGACCCTGAAGATCAAAGTGCATATTAGTCAGGAAATGAGTGAACAGTGGAACAGCCTCCATTTACTCTTCTATATCTTCTATATTCCTCATGTTTGACTCTCAGAAACAACATGGAATAAAGTGCAGCTACAACATGGCACACAGACACACTGACCTCCACAAACTCACCTGAAACCTCCAGCTGGTAGATTCTGATTGGTGGAGTCTCAATGTTGATTCTCTTATGTCTTGAAACTCCTGTTGCAACTCGACACTCGTATGTTCCAGCGTCGTTGCTGCTCACGTTCTTCAGAATTAAAGACACGTTTCTGTCCTTCAGCTCTCTGTCCACCAGCTGCACCCGGTCCTTAAAGGATGGATGCTGCTGGGTTGGATCTGAGAGTCCATCTCTGTAAAAGAGGACGTACTCTGGCTCCAGGTCAGCTCTGCTCCACTCTACAGCTCTGATGGGGCTTCACCAGCCTGACATGGCAGAATGACATCATCTCCAGGTTTCACTCGTACCACATCTAAAAACAATAAAAACATCCAGAGAGAAAAAGTAATTACATTTAAAAAGGACTCCACAGGACGATACAGTGAGAACATCTTTGTTTAAACAGAAGGCCTCTTCACACTGAGATCATGGGAACATTCAATAATTAGTCACAACTGTGGAGACATTACAGGATTTTATTCACACACTGTTTATAAGACTTGTTGCAATCAGAGCCCTCAGTGACACAATATTACGTTAAAGCAAATGACTCGTCACTTAAAAAATAGTCAGACATGGAGTTTAGATTCTTATTCAAAGACCTGAACTTAACTGTAAAAAAGACATTGTCAAAGTTACTCTTTTATCTTACAGTCTCAAATAGTGCAACAGATCTGAAAGTATGTGTGTCACGGTCTTGGGTTTAGGCGTTATTTCCTTTTCCCAGTGCTAGTGTTTATCACTGTCTCTGTGTTCTCAATTATTAGGGGTCCACGTGTAACCCAGTATAAATAGTACTGGGTCAAAAGAGTTCATTATAAGAAAATCTGATTTTAAAAATTCATTGCATATGATGGTAAAATATGGTGATGTATTTCTGTTGTATGTTGCACATTTGCTGTATGATAAATAACTAAAAGATAATGTTTAGTTAAAAGCCTGTTATAACGAGTTCATGGGTTGTATATGCAAGTTGAAAATCTGTGGTAATTGCTGGAGTCTAAGAGTGGGTTTTCATTGATTTGATGCCGGTGGGCATGAGAGGCGTGCATGATCAGGTGCAGGGGGCGAGTGTGTGAGCGGAGGGATTGACAGAG